CGCATTAACGTGTCCCTTGGGAGTTGTGTCAAAATGAGTGTTCATATTTTGCATGCAGCTACCCAGATACACAGAGATATATGTATATACATATAAATATAAATATAGATGGGTTGCACAAAACGCATCAACTTATTAAATATGCGAATTTATGACTGGTCTACACGAAAAGGGACTTTCGCAATTCGCTAGACAATAACAGTTGCACTGAGATGATGATGATGATGATTATGAAAATTAAAATGAACATGTGACGACTGAGGCTTAAGGTCAGACTGTCTGTGTGTCTGTCTCTGTGATGAATGTTGCTGGTTACCTGAGCCGTGCGTCTCACTTGAAAGACACAGGCAGCATCATTAATTATGCACAAGCTGAAATGTCAAATGTGAATCAGCGCCACCAGGCGCCTTTTTAGGTCTTACACAAAATATAATCCCACTCAGCCGATTAAGATGTCGCACGGTGGGACTTCAAAGCCATTGTTGGCACCCAAAACGAAAAGTTCGCAATTTAATAGACAATACACATGCATTAAAGAACAAAATATGATGCTACAGTTGAGGGCCTTTTTAAAAGTAAAAATATATATAAAGAAAACAAAATAGCAACTTGAAATCATGTAAAATATATTTTAATTTAATTAAATGTTTTTATACATTTTTCTTCTTACTATAAATGAAATCTTTTTTTTCTGGTGTTTCGTTCAACGAACTTATTTTAATTAATTTATCGTCTGTTTGTGGTCTGTTTGCTAAGTTTATACACATTTCGTTTAGGTCTTCATCATTTTGTTTACCTTGTTTGTCTGGTAAGGATTTTGTGCCATTGTAACATAAAATCGATGATCCATTTGATCAGCCTGATAACTGGAAATTGATTGCGACGTTTGGCAATGGTGAGCCCACCAAAGGACCACTTGACCGCTCCCAAAAATGACTCCTGTTCGTCCTGGTTGTCTCTGGCATTTGTGAACAGCTAAGGCACGTGAGCGCGTACTTTTCTATGGGTTCTGCGCGCTAAGTCAATTGGAAAGCTATTCGAACCCAACCCATGCCAGCTGCAGCTGGAGCTGGAGCTGGAGCAGTGACTGGTCATGCATAAAATATGAGCGTGTTGCGATTGCCTGTCGGGCATGACTAAATTTGTTGCTGCTCCGGAACACACACATCTTTTTGCCAGTACATACACAACACATCATAACATCGTATCTTCCCTAATGCCCTCGTCATTATTATCAAATCCGTAGAACATGAAATGCCTCGCCTCAATTGGGTTTAGTTCAAAAGCCCATCAAACTCATTACATAACAGTCGACCGGAACACTGCGAGAGGTTTCCGATTCAGAAAAATTGACCTTCAAAGCTGGACGAAAAAAATAAATAGAAATCATTAGTTAGGGTTGCTGAACTGGAAGATAACCTATTATTCAATATTAACCTTACATTAAAACAAACAACATATATTTTGTATTTCATTTCTGGAATAGTTTAAGTTAAAGTTACTCATAACACATATTTTTACTATATCAGATTTCGGTATAATTAAAAGATTAATGAACAAAATAATGGATTACTGGCTATATGCAGTATTCTGGCATTCAATAATGCGCATAAGTTGTTATACTTAAAATCGAATTTACAATACAAAATTTGTTTGCATTATATGCATTTGTAAAACTAAGCTAACTAAAAATTAATAATAGTCCCTGTTTCATACATTTCATGGATGGAGGGTATCAAAATGGCATTTCGGGTAGACAGCTTGAACTTTATGATGATTATGATGTGTCCGTTGTGTGTGTTTTAGGTGAAATATATATGGGCCTTGCTTGAGCTGGTGCGCAGTGCGCTTCTGGGCAAAAGGAACCCTCATCAATATGGGACTTCCATTCAACCACACAGGATGAATTTGCTAGCCCATTGCCAGTCAAGTTAATTGCACAAATAATTTACATAGTAATTATGAGCGCTCAAATGTGTCCAGAAAGCTTTTACCAATCCATTGCATTCCGGCTGTTTAGTTTCAATCAGAAAGTAGTTTGCATATAAAACGAAATGTAAATGCAATTCAGATGATGTGGATATAATGGCAAATTCTAATTACGTAGTGGCGTTGCTTAAATCAATTCCAATGCAGCGCTTTAATTAAGTGTCATGGCTGTTGCTAACGTTGCGCATCATTTCCATTTCCGTTTCCTTTTGCTTTCCAACTGATTTTTAATATCTCTCTCTCTCTCTCTCTCTCCCTTCTCTCACATCCGTGATGTCGGTGATAGTCGCTTTTACTCCCCCCTGCCTCAAAGCGAAAAACGATTGGAATTAGGGTGTGGGTTTATTCAGACAGAAACTGTTTGGTTACGCAGCAATCAGCAATTCCTATAGCAGCATCGGTTTGGATGAAGCGAAAAAAGGATGCCCCAAATTGCGATGGATTCCATTAGATAATTGCATTTCTGAATGCGTGTTAACCAACATACATATGTAAATTGAATGCACAAAACGAATTGAGGAAAAATGATTTCATTTTTATAAAATGTGTTAATAAAAAAACTCATTTTCCAATCTATATTGATTAAATTGGAATCGAATCGCTAAAGTTAAGACTAATTTATGTTACTCACCAGTTTTAAGTTAATTTAAAAACTAAGTTCATAGGGGTGAAACTGTTGAAAATATATATTTATATACCTTGGTAGAGGTTATTATAATTTTATTGTTGAGTAGCGTCTCCGACCTCATAATGTATATATGTTCTTGATCAGCAGCACTGGCAGAGTCGTTATGAAATTTTGAACATATTCCTTTTTTTTGCTGGAAGCAGTACATAAGTCGGATACGCCTAGATTGGATCACTATATCATGTAGATCCCATAGGAAAAATGGGTTGAAAGTTGATTTCTTGGATGAAATCGTTTTTGATTAACAAGTTATCCTAACCAAACTCACCAGTTAAACGTGTTATTATTTTCATAACATTTGAACAACAAATTATCAACGACGGACGTCTATATCAATTTTCATGAGAACAATAAACAAAATATTCAAAAATGATGCCGTGCATTTAAATCATTATATACATAATAAAAAATATTTTTAGATGCTAAAGATCGACAAATTGATTTCATACTATTTAAAATACTAATTTTTATTTGATGTCAGTGCTAATGTGCGAATTATTGTTAAAAAAAAAGACAATAGTCAATATCAAATTTCGTCATGCTAATTGATTAGCTATTGCTACTCAATCTTTAACGTAATTTAATCTATGGTGTCTAAGCAGGCCACTTAGTAACGCATAAGCATAAATAATTTCGTTGTTATTTGTCATCTGAATACCCATTTAAACAAATTATAAGCAGACTTGGCTAAATGCAGTGAATACAATATGTTCAAGTTAAGTTGTCAAGTAGACACGCCTTAACTTAGTAACGCATACACAAAAATAACATTGTTTGTTTTTTTATTTTTGCATTTGAATGGCAATTTAAACAAATTATAACCAAACTTGGCTAAATACAGCGACTACAATATTTAAGTTAAGTTGTCAAGCAGACAGACAGCTCAAGAGCTCAGAATGACTACAGTCAGAGATGAATGAATGAAGTATTTTGAATTCATAAAACAGACTTTGAGCCGCTTTGTCTGGGTAAGCATAAAGAGGCAACCGATTAAAAATCAATATAAAACTACATAGATTTGTTCACCGCACGTCTTTAAAGACATCATACAAAAGGGAGTGCTAAGCTCCACTGAAAGCAACTGAATTAAATTAAAAAAAACCACAAATAATTAATACGTACATGCAGGCACAAGAGAAGAGGAGTCACAAAAATGATATATGCTGATCTGTCATTATCTATTTGCATAATTATAATGGCGTGGACAGCAGGAAAAGAGTCGCCTCATTGTCTAAGCCAGATTAATAAAAGTTACCAGCTTAAACATAACCAGCAGATTATCTCCCCAATCTCAACACGTCAGTTGAGAAAATTGTGGAGATTGTCATTGCCTTTGTTTTGAGCCAACCGTGGGCTGTGAATTTGTTGGCTACGCGCGCTTCCATCTCTGATCAACTTAAGGTGATTGATAAGCACTACCAAATAAATCTAAATTAGGTATGTTGTCTACTCGAGGGTACTAATCGCGGAGATACCCTAGAGTTGAGTAGTTGATCATATAACTCTTGTGCTTTAAAGCCAATTCAAATGAAGATTGAATTCTAAACACAAAACGACTATTTATTTTTTCCCCAACTGCTCAACATTAAACTTGAAATACCACTTTATAATAGTTATCATAAAGAAAATGTCTAAAATCAAATAATATATTCTTTGAGATGGGAATATTAATGCAGAGCTAAATAACTTCTAAGTCTTAAACGAGATTCCAATGAACTCTACTACTACTATCTCTTAAGTGTGCTTTACAATCCACCTATTATTATTTGCTACCATTTTATTTATAGTTAAATGATAGATGATGTGTAAAAATATACAGTTGTCTAAAATCCAATAATATATTCTCTGGGAGTCACACCATTGTGTGCTGAGTTTCATATTCATAATTTCTGACGTCGCAGTTCTTCATCATGTGCCTATCATGATACCCTTTGGTTTCTTTTCCGAGTGGGTATAGATTATAAAATAACATAAAATAGAAACAAAGGCAGAACCAGATCAGGTTGAAATTGAAATGATACAAAAAACTTAAAAATATATATATATAAATAACATCATGATACGAACCATTTGCATAAGTGCCGTGTCTAGTTGGCAGTGCTCGAAAAAGAATTAAGCTTTAAAAATAAAGCGACAGCCTCTACTTAGAGAGCTATAGAACAGCAACTCTGCTGGCAGATGTAGATACTTGGTGTCTGGCCAGTTTAGAAATTTATGTAAATGCATTTTGCGGCCCGTGAACTTGAAACGCGCCGTTTGCCATAGCCACAAGATTCAGATTCAGTTGCCCAACGGCTGTGAAGCGAACGAGTCTGCGAACGAGTGGAGCGAGTGAGTGAATCGTATGTGTGTATCGGGTATCGAGTACAACTGAGTGCCCGATTATCGAGTACCGAGTTTTGTGTGAGTCGAGTGCTCACAACAACTGTGTGAGTGTGTGTGCGTGTGTGTGTAAAATATAACAAACGACAAAGAGTGAATCATGTACAGGACGTGGCTCTGTGTAAGTTTTAAGTTGAAGAGCTGAGCAGAGCTCAGCACAGCTGGACTCAATTTGTCATTGTATGGAGTGTAATTTGTCTTGCAGCTGATATCTGTGCTGAGCGTTGCGAGCGCCGCCAATCTCGCCTACTTGCCCCGCCAGACACAGAGGGCGGTGCAGCTCGGGAATGCCTATTATTACAATGCACCTGCCCCAAGCACATCACAGGCTTTGCGTCGCATTATCCAAGGACATCTGCAGCGGTTCCAGCAGGCGGACAGACAGAGGGTCATTTCGTCACTGCCGATGAGGGTGGAAGTGTATCGGCAGTCGCCACAGCAACTAATCTTTGAATTTATGCTGCCACCGAATTCACCCACACCCAAGAATTATGCGATGAATTTTCTACCGGAGGGCAGGGACGTGGCACCCGGAACTTCCTATATACCATTAAAGCTGTTCCGAATACGAGTCAAGTGAGAAAAAACTTGGTCGGCATCTTCTGTTATTCAAATGAGTTCTGCGTCTGCTAGGAATGCCAGTCTTGTTAAGTAGCGGCGGCGGCGGCAGCGGCAGCGGCGGCAACCAGTAAAGGAGGTTAATTTGTCATAATCCCATTGGTTGTTATACAATGTTAATGCTAACGACATATTAATTCTTCGATTAATTCGATATTCAGAAAAATATATGCTATAAGTGCAAACAACATCAACGGAAAATCAGAATTGATATTTTCAAGAATAATTTCTAAGCTCACGAATCACATTTCTTAAATGTAGAAACATTTCAATATTTATTTCTACGATTGAAAAACGCATTCTATCTGCTTTTAGGTAACAACGTATGAATTAAAAGCCTAATTTGACATTCATTTTTAAGTGTAGTATTAGCATAGCATTCCGAATTCTAATTTAAGTCCAACGCTAATTTGTGCCAACAAAAAAAACTACTAAAAAAAAAAAAAAACAAATATTAATTCTAAAAGCTTATCTGTGAGCTACGGTATTTTGTTCAGATTGTTTCAGATACAGCCTCCAAATTGCGGAATAAGATAAGTAAGAAATAAATTATAATACTGTAGCTACGCACCGTTCGTAATGGTCACCAACTACGAACACTATGTTAAAATACGAAATACATTCACCAAATTAAGTTTGTCATATCATTTACATAATTTAGAAGCTATAAATTAAAACGCACGGAAAACAGCAGAAACAACAACAATAACAACTAAAACAACCGGACGAGCAGCAAAAACAAACCCACCGCAGAATTGCAATAAATTGCTATTTAAGGTCATACACCGAAATGAAACAGTAGTTCTCATTAAAGAGCAGAAACCATCTGAATTCCCTACAACTTAGAAATGTCAATATTTGTGTCTCTGCTTTGTTTCCAAAATTTAATAGGCTCAGCTGCCAAATTAAACTATCTCCCAATTAAATATTCATAAGATATAAATATAACATTAAATGGGAATGGACAACATTTAAACATCTAACGTGACACACCCCTACCATTGTGAGTCAGTTTCAAATGATTCAGAAGATAAAAACCATTTACATAAAATGTTTAGAATTTCAGAACATGTTATTTCATAATTCTATTATACAATAAATATATATTCAGCTATTTTGCAGAAAACAGTTTTATTTCTATATTTACCTAGTGCTTTTAAAACTTAAAACCGGTTTAGTTCGCAGCTAAAGTGGTAAAGCATGCAGCAATGTGGTGTTTGTCTTCGCTTGCAAACACAGTGGCTGTCAAAATGTGCGATGGCTTGTCATTGCTAAACTTTTAAGCTTGCTTTGGCCAGCTCTCATCGATTAAATAATTAATAAGACACCTCTGAAAAATTACTTAATCAGACATTATTAAAATCAGTTAATTGATAATGCTCGTATTAGTTGTTAAGTTTAATGATCATAGCTCATAATCTTCAATAATTTGAATAGAAATTGATTAAAAATTACTTTTCTTAAAGATGAAATTAGTCATCGAGGTATAGTCATGTTGAGAAAAATGAAAAGTTTCAGGTAGAGCTTGTGTATAAATATTTATTATTCATATTTATCTGTGTACCTTATGCGATGTTTTATATTATAGTATTTTCATTAAAAAAACAGGTTTCAATCTGAAAAAATTAAAACAAATTATAAATTTGCTTGGTGGAAAACTAGAAATTTTTCAGCTAGAAGTGATATTAATCGATAGTTATTATCTAGGTTTGCGTTATTCTGTAGCTATTGCTTAAAGACGTGGTCATTGAATTTTGTTCCATTGTGCGCTTCGGCACATTTATCTTTGTTTGGTTGGGACAGATAAGATTAAGCCAAGCTCTGCGATTAGTTGTGTTCAAGAGCACAAAGTAGACGAAGAGTACAAAGCCCTGCAGTGTGGCCGTGAGACAGAAGAGATATGAGAATACAATGCCCAGGTGCATATAGCTGCATAGTCCAAATATCCAGGTGAGTCCGAGGAGGAAGAAGAGCAGCACAGAGAGACGCAGCTGCTGGATGATGAGCTGCCGTCGAGGATTGAGTGCACGATGTATGCTGTAAATGATGCACAGCATCATGAAGGCATTGGCAATGGTAACCATAGCAATTGGCAGCACTACGCCCAAAGCGAGACCATATCCCGAGGGATAACACAATGCCGAGTGGCTATTTCGTTGATAGTCGGATGGCTTGAAGGACTCGGCATCGAATAGGACAACCATGAGAACTGGCAGCAAGGGCAACGTCCAGGCAACTATAGCTGATATGAGTATATAATGATTGGGGCGTGCCACGCCAATAACGGTCACATAACGCTGAAACTGCAGAAAGGCAATGATCAGCATCCAACTGAAGATGACTAGCACAGAGTATTGCAGCAAGGCGCCCAAAATCAAACAGCGATTCCAATCATCCTCCGACCACACCAAATTCTCGCCGAGATAGCCAAAGAGGAGAAGCTGTAGCGACAAAGCCAGACAGAGATGCAAGAGCACCTTGGTGGATGCCTGATTGCGCCACTTCTTCACTAGTGCCGCCGTTAAAAAGATGCACACGAGTCCAAACAGCGACAGGCCACAGCCCACCAATGTGATCATGTCCAGCAGTTCCTCATGTGCTGGCAATGCAGATTCCAGTTGAAGTTGTTTATCCTCCACATGCAACTGGGCATAGCTGCCACCCACTAGAAAGGTGAACTGCGTCAGATGATGCGCTTGGCACAGCACATTTGGTGCCCACTGTGCGTTCTCCTCCTGGCAGGTGGTTACTCCATCATTTAACCAGCTGCCATAGTTCCAATAGCCACAACCGCTTTCACCATTGGAGTATTTGCCCTGCGGCAGTAGAAATGGCAATGCAGATGGCAATTCAACACCTGTGAAATTAAATAAATATTTAATATAGAAATGAAATAAATAAACAAGTTACATTTTTGATTTGCGAATTCAATGACTGATTTTTATCGGGTTTACTCTTTGAATTTGTCCGATAATACTCTTATGGAAGGGGATTTATCAGTTCAGAAATGTTGAAAAATATACAAATTGTTCAAGCCCATAAGCTACACTCAAAAGAAATAATCGAATAAAGTAAAAAGAAAAGAAATTTCAGTTTTAAAATGTAAATGAAATTTGTATTTGGTGAGAATAGTTTCTATCGCAACGGACAGACAAACATGCTACTGATGAGGAATGTATTGAAAATATTGTATCTTTGATAACAAACAGACTTCATGCCAATATTAGGGTAAACAAGTATCAAAATTCTTTTTTTAAACTCACCCTCAAATCCTGGTATAGTTATGGATAGCACTTTGCTGCGTGGGCGTCGACTGCGTACTTGAGCAGTCTCCACAAAAAGTCCGTCATGGGCGTATACTTTGAGTATTAGATAAGTGGCGCCTCTCTCTTTGAGTTGGTGCCACAGTTGCTCTGGCAAATAGCTAGCAGCCTCCAGATTGGCCTCCCGCCTCAGTTTCTCCAAGTTTTCATTGGCATACAGAAAACGATAATAAAATCCGCTGATAGAAGTTCTTCGATCTGAATTGGATGTTGAATAAATGGCAATGCCAGTTATATTTTCACAAAAGGGGTTCACATAGAATACGCTCAGATTGCTGCTCATCAGCGCCTGCACTCCAATGTTGGCCAATTTGATTGTTTCCACGTCGTTGTTAGTTGTTAAACTTGTATCAGTTGTTGCCTTGCCACAGCTTTCTCTGGACACAAACTGCTGAGGCAGTGCATTCATATAATCCTCAAATTTACTCAACAGTGAGTTGGTCGCATTAAGTTGGGCCGAAAGTCTCAGCACCTTCGCATCGCTGGACATAATCTCTCGACAGATGCTGACCAAATCCGCGCCGAGAACTGACTCTTTATCTTTCCGCTCCGCCAGCTTGGCAAATATTTTCGCAGTGCTGTAGATGTCCACAGCTGCCAGTTTTCCATGTGCCTCGCTCAATAAATATCTCAACTTGGTCAACACGACCGGTTTGTGGCTCATCTCGCCAAGCAGCTGTTCGCTTAGGTGATTAAGTTGTCGGCTCAGTTGGTTGCCCGCCAGACAGGTGACATTCTTGACCTTTTCCCATTGGCCAGTTGCATTGCAGAGTCGCCGCAAGGGCAATCCTTTCGCATCCAAGCATAGATCACGCATTGTGGAAAATTCTCCAGCCTTGGTGCGCTTAAAGTGATTCAAATGCAGTTCAACCTTTACTTTACCTGCCCCAACAGCCAAGGCGTAGTTGTGCTCAAAATCTTGTGATTCACAGTAGGCTGGTTCATTGGAGGCAGGCTTTTCTGTAGTCCTCGACTGCCATTGTTCTTGTGGAAACAGATGCACACTTCGCCAAGTGCTGCTGCTCGTGCTGACAAATTCAGCAAGTCTCACATGTGCTTCCGTACTGGGCCAAGCCATCAAGAGTAAGCAAATTTGCCAAATCATTGCGATTATTTAGTTAATTATTGCGATTAACTTGATACATTGCCTAAGCCGTTAAGCCATTAAGACCGTTAAATCGACACGTTGTTGCCTCAGCAAGCGCAATACTCAACTGTCGAGGTGACTTTGGGTTTTTCAAGCAATCACGACTTGAGGTAATAGAAGTAATAAATTTTATGGCCAAGATGCGCTTATCCAAACTACGTAGTTACTCAGTTGCTCATTCATTAATAAATAAATACAATCAATACATACTTACAATATATACTTTAAGCATATTTCTCTGATTTTCTTGAATGCTTTGACTCGATCTTATGAAAAACTCAAGTTCAAATTCGATCGGTAGCTGCTTCACGTCAAAACAATAAACAGTTGAACACAAGCTAACATCTCTCTCTCTCTCTCTCTCTCTCTCTCTCTCTCTCTCTTTGTCTCACCCGTCTCACGACAATTACTCAATATGTCGATATTTATATAACAAAATGTTGAATAATATACGGTAAGCAACAGTTTCTTCTTCATCGTCGACAACTTCTTGATATTTTCGAAAGCCTCTCGAGATTAGCGCGCCGCGTCGGCTGTCAGCGCAGAATTGATTTAATTTTATTTTGCTGCTTTGATTCGCTTTTGATTTTTGGATTTATTCATTTGTTTTTATGGCGTTTATTGAGTTTTGATTTTAGATTGGAACATGTGCGCTGTCTGCCGGTCAAGCATGTGGCAACTAGTTGATTGTGGTTATTTTTTCCTTGTTTTCTGACAACTCTCAAATTACGTGAACTAAATTAATGGGCCAATTTTGCAAAAGCTGTTAGAAGCAGCAAGACCATGTCCGAATCCAATTTATCTCAAATAGTATCTATTGTTAGATCATCAATAAGTTTGTCGTCAATAAAATTGTGTTTATCTATTTAAAGGCAACATTTATTAAGGCAATATATATTCATTTCCTAATTTGACATCGAGTTAACTTCAAAAGTAGAAAAAATAAATTGTTTGATACATATATTTGTTCATGCCAAATCTTTTTTTTTATTATTTTGTACTTGAGAAATGTTGACATTTTATTTTATTGTGGGTTGTGAATGAAACACTAATAACAGAAGATGAATGCAATGCATTAATTCAAAAATGTTTATGTTTTTTTTATTATGTTTATGTTTTTCATAAACTAATCACAGAAAAAAATATGGAAGACACGCAAAATAACTTGTCTATCAACGAACCAACAAACGAATTAAGTCTCTCTAATAAATTCATGCAATTTGCGAATTTCTTACAAATTGATACATATTTTATTTATTTTATTTATTATTATTTTCAGCTAATAAAAATTTAAAGCATCTGTGTCTCGAGCAAGTCAACTTTAACATAATTTAAGGCACATTCGAAGAATCACAGCAGCAGTTAGTTCTTGTTAAATGCAATTTCATCATGTATGCTCTTTAAAAGCAACTTACAAATTGGCATAATAACAAGAAATGCAAACTAATGGTACATTCTCTCTTTTGCTGTATTTGGTATTGCATGTTTGCCTTTTGCCGTTCGCATGCACAATTGGTCAAGGCAGGTTCGTGTCATGCTCTGACCTCGGACTTCAAATTCTGCTCAATATTGAAATATTTGTGCAATGGCAAACAGTTGAAATGCACAGGTAAATGCAATAAAACTGCTGAGTTCCAAAGCAATTTCACCCGAGAAATATTTCGATTTAATTAAATAAAATTCTCATTTGTAACACATAAATAATTGGCATATTTCCAGCGAGTTGACTAAGTGAAACCCAAGTCAACAACTGAAACACTAACAATGAAAAATTCTTATCACCTGGCAAACAATCGGTTTGTGTCCTTAAATTTACCATGAAATAGACTCCACCTTGCAAGGGATGTAATTTTCTGTTTGCCCAAGGTATGCGTTTTTCATGTTTAATTTTTGGTAAGCTCATCTGAAATTAATGAATTTCCGGACTTTCTCTGCAAAGTTTCGATGTACGTTTAACTATAATAGATTTATACATATATTAGTATAAGAATCCATCAATATATACATACATATATGTTCAGTCAAATAAATAATTCGGTATACGCCATACTCATCCATTTAATGTTTACAGAATATGATAATAAAATTAAAATTCATTAATTCGATTTCGCATGGTCTTGCACTGGGAGTATGAATTCACATTTTAACAGCTGCATTTAATTTAATCACATTACAACTTTCATTTGCATTTTAAAGCATCAAAATGTTAAATGCAAAATTGTCTTCAGCAATAAAATTTTCAACCGTCAGGCATTTGATTATGAAGACTGGTATCTCTTGCTTTGCTCTGTGTTTGCTCAGCTGAGCTGAGTCACAGATTGAGTGATTGATTGGATGATTGATTGGATGATTGATTTCAGAAATTGGCTAAGCGATTACAAGTGCTGTTAGATGCCCAGCCTGGGCGCTTGATTAAATATTTGAAATTATGTAAACAAAATGGTTAAGTGCTCAGCTGCTCGAGTGGAACATTTTCAAGTGCAACATTTTCCCTTATCAGATTAAATTTGCTTGATATTGAATCAAATTGCATTTAAATGCAATATTCCTACAAGTATATATATATATATATTTATTTATATTTATATTTGTGTTTATGTATATTATATTCAATCTTTGTCTTTATTGAGTGGAGCATAAGCAATATTGCTTGGAAAATGCCCTGAGGTGGGGTGATAGCTGTTAGGCTAGGTATTTCAAGATGGCAGCAAGACTTTGGCGCTGGTTGGTTACTTGGTTCCACTTCAGGAGTTTATTTACTCAAGTGTGATGCGATTATCCTGCTGCACTTTTCCTTTGTTTCCATGCGCAACCAGCAGGGCATTGGGCACACAGTCAGATGCCATTATTGTCAGTGACTAGGATTTATGTGTGAGTGTGTGTGTGTGTCACGCAGCGATTGGGTTCGGCTTTGTGGTTTGCGACCTGAACTTCTTCATTTCGCTTTTTGCTTGTTAATTAAATATCCTACAGATTGTTATCCTCTCGCTCTGAAGTTGATTAAAAGCCCGGAGAGCCGAAAGTGTTTTTATCCTACGCCCCATTTCATTTGCACAATATGCTTACGTCTTTTTTCGTAGTCCTCTACATTTGCTTTACAGTAGGCAATGTATGAAAATGGAGCATATTAAGTTTATAAAAAATATTAACTTATTCATGATATATATATATATAGATCTATATACAAATAGCATATAAAACATGTCCTTGGTCTCGAACGTAAATTGTGGGTTGTTTTAAATATCAACAGGGGCTTCCAGCCTTGATAGATTTATTTATATTTATGAATAAATCATTTCTATGATTTTCTATTTCTGTAGTCTATTTATACACTCTAAAAATAGAGTATATTTTCTTTTGCAACTGATTCTTTTTGCGTTGTTTGTTAGCTGTGATTTTAATAGTCTACTGTCAGCTGCTGCTGGCTACCTAGCTACAGTTTCTCTTTATCTTTCTCTTGCCAAGGCCCATTCCATCAGTGTCAACGGCATTGTCGGTCTGTCAGCGTCAGAGTCAGAGTCAGCATCAGAGTCTGAGAACCGCCGTTGGCCTCATGCCGCCGACATTTATCAGACATCTCAGCTGACTTTTGTTATGGTCAATGTGGCTCCATTTGCAACCTTTAAACGTTGGTTAAATAAAAGCTGAATTAAAACAAGTAAGAATTTCCCAGGTAAAAATCAATGGGTGTGAGATACTATCTTATAATACTCTGTAACAAATGTAGATTCATTAGTTTTTGCTCTCAACCAAATCCTTATCATAGCCTTATATTATACTAACATTTTTGTATTGGCATGTGTAATGTATTGATTGAAAAGTCACTGACCAGGTGAATAATATATAATCGTGATCAACATTACTAGCTTAGTCCATATTACCAAGTCCATCTGTCCAACTGTCCGTCTGCCCATCTGACCGACTCTCCTCATATTTTAACCAATTTTTTAAATAAGTTGAACTCCCTCAGTTTTAAAGCTATCTTGTTGAAAGTTGACATATATCTCATTTTTAGCCGTGGTTGGCTTATCAGATCGGAGGCGGTCGGATCGGACTATTCTTTCATATAGGTGCTCTAGGATCGATCTGTCTAAAGTTGTAAGCTTTTAAATTGAGATAATTTTATTTTTTCTTATCTTTTAAATTAATTATATATTAATGAACTTCTTGAAGTCTTTTATACCCTACTTAAAGTGTGTAAATTGATGTCAAAAAGTTGACATAGCTTGTAATAATATAAAATGACGGACAATATGCTCAATTTACATCACAGAATATTGCATTATCATGCAGGATGGCAATATTACTACGAGCCGCCAGGCACTTAATTGTTTTGGCATAAGTGAAAGGGAAACCAATAAAATATGTGCAACGCATCTGACTGATGCAACCTTCAAGCACTTCAAGTGCGGGTTGAAATATGGCCACAGAGTGCTGCAGCTGTTTTCTGAAAATTACATTCCAGTTAAATGAAATGCAATTGAGTCAAATGAGCAATATTCAATTAAATGCAATTTTTATGAAGTTAGTTCAAATTTTATAACGCTAACAGAATTATTTTAGATTCAGCTAGATTTCATCTTAAGCGCAGCATCGCCATCTATGGTTCGGTGGCAGCAGTTAAAAGCAAGAGAGAGCGCAAAAGAGAGGGAGAGAGAGAGAGAGAGAGCTTTTGGTTACTCGCAGCTTTTTTTGGTTAACAGCTGAGCTTGCCAGGCAATTGGCAAGCGGTTGCCAGGCGAAAGGAGCTGCCACAGCCAGTAAGGCAGTTTTGAAAAGCGCACAAGTGTCCTGGCGCTAACTGTGTGTTTGTGTCTGCGTGTGTGTGTGTGGTGTCCCTTTAATACAACAAGCAGCTGGCGGCTGCTGTTCAGTCGTCGATGGCTGTCTCAAGCGAACTGTTGTTCAACGCACATCCTGAGCGAAAGAGCCCGTAACAGAAATAGGCTCGCGCGTGCTACTCGCTTATCAAAAGTCAGCCGAACGCGAAACGTGTGTGTGCCTGCGTGTGTATGTGTGTGTGTGTGTGTGATTCTCAGGATATTGTTAGTGAAACTGAAATGAAAGTCAAATCTAAAATACAAAACAAATAAATCACACACCAAAAAAAGCAAACAAAGAGAAACGTTTAAATATAAATACGCGACTTAAATCGCTCAGTAATAAAAACAAGGCAAATATAAATACAAAAGTAATAATACAAAAAATAATAATAAGAAACAGCCGCCAAAGGAAAAGGTCTCGCACAATGCTGCTGTTGTCGAGCACAAAAATTAAAGCATACTTTTGAGCACTCTAATTTATCTCGGTCGCTATTGTCTCTGGCTCTGTATCTGGCTCTCTGTGAGAGAGTCCTCTGGGGAGGCGTGTAATAATTTATGTTTTACTGTTTTCTTGATGTTCGTAAAAAATTACAATAACACAAGTGGACACAAAACGAATTGAAATATTTGCCTCAATATGTCAAAGTTTATTAGACATTTGGCATTGCGTGCCCGCGGCAATTTGTGGACAGTTGTTGCAACTTTTTTTCGTACAAGTTGTTGCTGTTCCTGCTGCTGCTGAGGAAGGATAGTAAATGTCCATTAGGTTTGATAAATGTGTGCACAGTCATTGTACATACAATTGCCCAATTCAATTTCGCCACAAACATCTAAAAACTCAACCAAAACATTCTCTGGCCTTGTCTTCGTTCATTTGGAAATGAGTTTTTGGTGCTTTAATGACCGGTCGGTCAATCATTTAGTCAGTCTTATAGCATATTGACAGACAATTTGTTCGCAAATAACGTGCAATAATATCGTTTAGTTTTTTGTAAATGGTTTTACTTAAATAACAATTCGCGTGTTGTGCGACAAAATTACGAGAAATATTTTGAATGCGACAACAAAACTGTTGGCAGTACTCAGTCGATGGCACTTGAAAACCTTATTCACAATTTCGCCGAAAGCATTTTCCAAAATGTCAAATGTTGCACGTAATTAAAATTCGCTGATTTGGAAGCCTCTTCAACAGAAGAGGTTGCTCAAGGTGGAGATGTTGGGGGGGGTGTTGGTGCTGCTGCCAGTTGAAGTGCGACCTCATTTGGCAAGCTAAAATCAACTGATTAATATGCAATAAACGCTTAAATCAACTGGGACTGAAAGCAAACAAAGGCGCTAAAGGTTGATAGCGATAAGCGGGGGCAAAAGTTAAACAATGATAACCCAGCTCTAAATAAAGCTGAAATAAGTATAGTATAAATATATATATAAAAGTGCTTGTGCTATGCACCATAACGAGCGTGCTAATGGGCAGCAGCAACATATACAAACACAACCAAACACACACACACACCAAATGAAAATCGATATTTTAGCATGGGCTTTAAAACCATGTTCAACTTGGTTGGCAACTCAAAAGGAATAAGTCAGAAAGTTGGCTTAAAGTCAGCTACTCTGCCTACACTCACAAAAAAGTTAATTAAGGAAAAGCGGAGAAACAAAATTTATAATTTTTCATGAACGGGTTGAATTTCAATAATTTTCCAAATATTATTATGTTTCTTGAAATGTGTACAAAATTAAATAAATTTGGGTTTCGAGATTGAAGACAAGAATTTCTACACATGAATAATTTTTCCTCTCTTCGACAATCATTTAACAAATATCTATTTGTATTTTTAAGAGCGACTTAAAACATTTTTTTTTTCTGAGTGCACTCGTTTGGTTTACCATAAAAAGTTCGTCTTTTTTCTGGCTACTACGATCCTGCCTGGTTGCATGCATGATAGAGAGCTTTGGCAGCAATTCTGAGTGCAAAAATAGGCGACGACTTAATTGCCGCACACTTGGCGTGGCACATAAATTTAGAGTTACGCTTGACTTGCCACACGAACACAAACAGCCACCTTTGTGTGTGTGCTTGTGTGTGTAATTAAAGCAGCCTTATGCATCCTTTATGCAGATGGCTGTTGCCATTTTGGCTGCTCTTTGCCGTTATTGTGACCCAGTTGGTGGGTTTGTGCGCGACTTTAGCTGCTGCACGTGTTGCATGTGGCATGCAACAAACAGAAATGCTAGAAGGCAATAACAGCTGCAATAACGCCGACAACAACTTGCAACAAAAGCACAGCTATTGCTGTGGGCCAAACGCTACGAGCTCCTTGAGAACTCCCTTGCACTCATTGGAATATTTGATTAGCATTCGTCCTTAAATGACAACAAAAAAATAAATAAAATGAAACACTAAAACAGCTAGGCGGGGTCTTAAATATTTGCGAGTTTAGGCCAACAGTCGAATATACATAAATAAAGGCAAAGGCCAGCAAAATTTAAAACCGAAAACGGAACAGAATGAAATGAAATGCAGAGCTGAATACATTGTAAAGCCGATTTTAATGTATAAACTCATGAAATATTCATGTCCGTTGTGGCATTTTTTGATGCTACCTCAGTAACAGACAGCAGTGCGACCCAAACAAATCCTTAATGTCTAGGCTAAACCTTTATGCACTTAAAACGAAACATTAATCTTATAACGAATTAAATCCCGGAAATTTGTATTTCCTTCAACAGATGTGCAAGCCTTTAAAACAAGTATTTAAACTAAAATGAATTAAAATTAAATATTAAATAGGTAATGTTCCGCATTTGACTACAATTAGTGCAACTGGATTAAAACGCCAGCAAAAGTTTCCTTTATAGCAGCTAAACACCAAAAAAGCTGTCAAAATGGTAAGTAATTTTATTCAAAATGAAAATTAATAATTTTAAGCTTAGCTTACTAAAATTTTACCATAGAGTTATGTGAATTATTAATTGATAGCACCAAAAAAAAAAAAAAATTTCATTTTCATATTAAAACTAGAAATATTTCAAAATGAATAAAATTAATGAAAATCTAATACTTATGGCATACACTAAATAACAAAATATTTGAGTAGGGAAAAATATTGAGCTTGTTGAACAAAAGTATGAATATTCATAAGCTATGCAATGATTGATCTAATAAAATGTTTTGATTGATCTGAAAAACATTTTGAGGTTGTTTTTGTATAACAAGCTCGTCAAAAGTGAGATAACATTTGCAAGGAGAGTCATAAATATTGAGAGAAAAAAAATAAAACATATTTTCCATGTAGCATAGAAAAAAAAATTGTTTTTTTTCTGCTAAATTTTTCAAGCGTTATTACTTTATCACACTTTAGGGAGAGAATGAAAGCAAAAAATGCAGTAAAGCCAGTAAATGTAATAAAATTTGTATTCGAAGCAAACAAAACATTTATAAATTCCACTAAAAAACTTTTCTTAGAAAAAAATTCGTGATATTCGATATTGAGAAGCTTAGGCTTGGCTTAAGTATCTAAGCAGTAACTGAAAAATTTCCTTACACAGCTGCTGTGTGACTGAATTTAGATGCCATAAAGGCACCAAATTTAATTAGATTCAATGCAAATATTTTGAAGACATAAAGATGCTAAATTTCGCTTAAGATATATAAGTATATCGAGCATGCTGATTATTCGTAAACAACAAAAGCTGCCTTTAAGATTCTTGGGTAAAAGCAAATTAAATGCCAAGGACACAGATAAAAATCACTTTTGCCAAGGGAATCAACTCAATGACAAGGCAAACAAAATTGCCGGTTGCTGACATGCCACATTCGTATACGCATACGCATATGCAGACAGACTTCGACATATAGGCGAATGTATAAAAGAAATGTTCACATCTAATGATTGCGATTTTCGCATTACTTTGCATGCTATTCGATTCTATTTTTCAAATTACGCTCAGCAGGAGCTACCCACGGGTAGTTCTATCATTTTTGTGAGCTATTTGGTTACTGCTGTTGAGTTTTTATATTTGTGCGATGTTGTTGTTGCAACATTTCAATATGTGCACAACAAAGGCAATAAACATCAAATATCGGTTAGATACATCTTCATCAGGCAACGAGCAAAAACCGAGCAGTCGAACTGCGAGGGGGCGGCCACTAGACGTATGCGTAATGTATGTAAATATATTTCAAGTATTTTCCCTGCTTGCTTGCTTAGCATTACTTCCGGCGGTTGCGATTGATTGTGTGAGCTCCATACTTGCAGCGTTCTCTATGAGCATTTAAGTGCCTGTCTGCCTGTGTGTGTGTGTACATATGTGTGTGGGAGTGTGTGCGAATGTGTGTGTATGTCTGGGTTTGATTTCGCATAACAAATCAAATTGATTGCTTGCAGGATACATTTAAAAGAAATGAAATGCGCAATCCTTATTGATTTCACATTTTTTGCATGTATCAAACGAGCAGCTCCAAAAATGAGCCACAATCATTTTTTTCTTAATGTTTTCCTGTATTTCATTTTTTTTTTTGGTTTTGGTTTCTTTTGTGTAAGTCCATTTTTTGATGGACTTCATTTTTATGATCACTTATTTCGCCTGTAAATGTAATTAAAATGTGAAGCAGCATTCAATTTTGCTGTCGCTTTTATGATTTCGTTTTGAGTGGCCATAAAAATGTCTCTGTAATTTCAGTAATGGGGCCACACAAGTGGGCAGAGAGTTGATTTTCCCAGTCACACTTAAATGAAAACCAAATAAAATAATGTACATGTACTATCCAATAAGATAAAGCATTAACATCATGCTGCGTAATTATAATAAGATATTCTATTGTGCCCATAAACTAATCGTTGTTGTTCTTGCTTATGTGTTCACACAATTATTTCTTTCAGTATGGCTTTGTTAACTACGCCTTGGAGTCGCTGGTGCTCAAGCATTTTGGCGAGGAAATATGGGAGAAGATCAAGTAAGTAACGCCAAAAAGACAACGACTCACCAACGACAATCCATTAATAGCACTTTATGGGAAAACTACTACTCTTACTTCTACACTCCAGTCCATAAACAGAACTCGAAATGGCATCAGGAATTAATGCGCCACTTTTATTGTGTGTGTCTGGCACAGATAAATATTTAACAAGTCTCCCATGAAACACACTTAACCAATTACAAGCGCCACGATTCTTGGAACATCATTTGTGGTTACGTCTAATAAGAATAAAGAATGATTTTGGTTCCTGTTTTCATTAGCATATTGCATTATGCATAACTCAATTAGCTGTCGGAGAAGATAAAGATGGGATAGCAGAAAGCTTCCTTGTATTCACTTGACGTCCGCAGTTTTCACTTGAACTAAAATTACTTAAGGGTAGAGAATTAGATTAGTAGGAAAAGTTTTGGTCAGTTAAGTATTCTTATGGCTAAACGAATTAAAGGGATTAATTGCTTATTCTTCTATTGCTAATGTTCGAAAGCATTTTGAGGCAGGTGAAGTTTATTATTAGATGGCCTCTGCTAAATTTTTATTATATTGCCAAAAGTCGTTGCTTGTGGACAAATATTTAAGAATGATAAATTATCTGTATTAGACACTTATTTTCCAAGACCTCCTAGTTAAATATAGCCAACTATACAATATGGAAATGCTATATACAATCTGCCTCCCAGGAAGCATGTCAAAGATTATACCAACAAAACACCAAATAGTAATAACAATAAAAGCAATTGCGAAAAGATAAAGTAATAATAATAACAACGTATAGTGTCAACACCTAGTCACCGTTGTCAGTAGCCTGATTTTATTTCTAATAACACGCCCAAACTCTGACGAGCTCCACTAATTTCGGCAAGTGTGCATAATAATTTGTGTGTGAGGATTATTCTATTTATTGTTGGGTTTCAGTTACAGTTTGGGATGCTCTTGCATGTTACTAACGTGGCGCATTTAATTAATAACTAAAATACATAAATTTATGCACAATTGTGTGCCCAAACAGCCGACAGAAGCCGCAATTAACTAATTATCCATTTTTCACATGTGCCACGTGCTGCCTCTCCCGCCGCTCGCAATCCCTCATGCCACACACACGAGTACATAAATTAATTGTTTGTATGCGTCTGTGTGTGTGTGTGTGTGTGGCACACATAAACAAGCACAACACGCGTAGCATTAATGTTAACAACGATTTGTGGACCTCGAACTGAGCCAAAATGTTCAGAATGCAGTGGCAAGAATTAACGGATATCCGGCCGAAAATACTCTTCCGTCCCCTCCCCCTCTTCAATACACTCTTCGTGCTTCGTGTGCGTGCTTTTGTCTCTCACTAAATACAATACGCATTTATCTTAATTAAGTTATTGATATTGCGTGCGTATTTGTTTAGTTGTTCATTTGGGGTTGCCTTTGCCTGAGTCATGCGCTAATTTTCCCTAATGGCGGCTGAAGGCAAGCCAACCAACCATGACGTCAGAGCTGATTTTGCTAATTGAGCAAGATTTATGAATTTTGATTTGCTTAAGCGTCAGTCAGCTGCCCAAAAACTCGTGGCATTAATTCGCTTCAAGAAATCCTTTTAATTATCTTCAACGGCCAACGAAAAAACATCGGGTGAAAAGGCAAAGTTTTTCGATTTGTTTGTTCGTTGGTAGAAAATAAACGTCTTGACCCTAGACTAAACGGCTGCTAACAATGACTCTGGCAATGACATGACTTTAATTACATTGCAGCCACTTGGCATTGGCAGTGGGGCAATCAATGCAACAGAGGCAGTAGCAGCAGCAGTTCAACTCGATGTGGCAGTTAACAGTGGCAAGAGCCGCACTCATTATTCTGCCACTTGAGGCGCCCAGGCATTGGCATTGACGTTCGTCCACACTTGAGTCAACATAGACGCACACACACACACACACATACACAATTCTAGTTGAGCAGGTTTCGTGTTTTCTTGAGTTACCAAAACCCACATGATATCACACTGGAAAACTTAGACTGCTGGCTTACAAAGTTCAAAGATTCAACAGCAAAGTTTGTACATGTAAAATAATACTTGGTGTCTTAAATTGTGCAGCTGCGGTTGGAAGTTATTTGATAAATTTTAGATTAATAAAGTTATCTTTTTACAAATACCACAAAAATATCTTTAACAATTTTGGTTCTTTATTTATTTGATTTCATATATTTATTCTATGTTAGCAAATTAATTTAAAAAAAGAAAAGAAAAAAGTTAAGAAGAAATTTTCCATGCATCGAGAATTTGACTGAGCCTTTTAATTATGTCTATGAACTGACTACATATAATTTAATAATCTAAAAAGTGCACAGATTTCATGTATATAGTCAAATGTGTATTATCGGAGTATGAACTAATAGTGGCTTTTGATTGTGTCCAATGAAATATAGAGAGTCAAATGAATCCTTGTTTTTATGACATGTGCTACATATTCGTGTCGTGTCACGATGGCATCTCTGTGGCAATAGTCGTAGACGGCAGTTCTTGGCCTCGTTAGCCCCTCGTTCAGTTGCACTTGAAGGCATTGTCAAAGCGTTCATTAAAAAGAAGGCAAGACCAAAGGCGACTCACATTGACAGGATACAACAAGGAGCAGCTTATGCGTGCGTGCCCGTTATACTGTTTGTCTGCCAGCCTCACTCCCCCTCAGTCTGTCTATCCTTCTCTCTGCCTCGGTGTGTTTGTCTGTGCGACTGTTTGTCTGTGTCTCTGCCTGTGCCTTCAATATGAGTGCCACAGGCATTTGGCTTGATTGACGCACTGCTGACCGCAATTGAATGAATGAATAAATGTAGTCCCTCAATGTCTTCTCTCTCTCTCTCTCTGTCTGTTTCTCTCTCTCTTCCCTCTCTTACTCTCATTTTCTCTTGCAATCTCTCTGTGTTCTTGTTGATTACTTTTACTTACTTGGCTTTAAAGCCGTGTGGCCGAGCTGCTTCTGGCGGCACTCGTGCTCGCCCGCACTTAATCAGAATCTGTGCGCTAAGTGCTTTATGGGCTGCTGCTACTTCACAGCCGTCTTCATCTTCTTGTTTTTGTTGTTGTTGTTGTTGTTGTTGCCGCATAATTGCAACACATCAATCTGCAAATGAGCCTCATTAATTTGCCACAAGAACAAGATTGAGCTTCAACTTAAAGCTCAAACTCAACGGCTTGGAAATATGTGCTTGAATTATATTCTTGCTGGTTGTGTGTGTGATTTTATTTTATTTTAACGCGGCTTGACTTTGACTTTGATGTGGCACAAGGATCACAAGGATTGCTGCACTGTGAGGCTGGCCCAGAGACTGAGACAGAGGCCGCAACGCTTGACATTAACGCTCGAGACCAGCACGGACAAGCACGCAGTAGCACAGAGACACACAAACACACAGTTGGCCACGGTCAAAGTGGCAGTTGTTGTGCTAATACACACACCGGAAATGTGAAGCATAGCCCCATACCCCACCCGATCCCTTCCCCCCAAATACGCCCCCTAAATCGGTCTATGCTGTGGCAGTGTCGCTTTATTGTTATTGTTGCGAAAGTCCTTGTTATTGTTATCGTTGCTGGTGCTGCTGTTTCTGCTGTTGCTGTTGCTGCTGCGTCTGCTGCTATTGCTGTTGTGCGTGTTTGTGGCACTTTAGACAAAAATCGATTTGCCTATAAAATGTTTTACAACACATGCAGGCACACATGCAGACACACACACACAAGCACGCACACAACACGACCACAATATGGGCATGCTGCTTGTGCCGGCATGGCGTCTAAGCCTCATGGCCCCGCAGAACCCGCCCACATCTGTCTGTCTGTCCACCCAGTCGCCTGCCAGCCTGCCAGCCTGCCTGTCTGTTCATATATCAGTCAACTGCTCTGTGTATACATATATTTTAATACTCAGCTGAGCTGCTGCTGCTTTTGCTGTTGCATACTGCCAAAAAAGAATTCACTGCTAATGGGTAAAACCCCAAATCCCAAACCTTGACTAACTGCTGGACCACAGAGGACTAACTGCCATGCGGGTAACTGCTCCCAGGATTGATTATGCACACATTGTGATGGGCTTTCGAAACGCTTTCAACTCAATTTCTCTAAGCTATAAATAGACAGTGGCTTTTTTTTCGATGAGTTCATAAATAGAGACCACCTGGCTGCCTCACACAGTGGACCTCGTCTTGATTTTAGAGGATTTTTATAAATGGAATTTACTGTATGTTTTATGAAATGATTTATATATATTCGATTTTTGTTTGTTCAATTTACATTTATTGGAAAATTAAAAATTTTCTTCAGAAATGCACTTGATTAACAAAAATAATTTAATATAATAGCTCAGCTAAAAACGAATTCTGATACACCATTTTTTTTTACCAATTACTATTGAATATATGATCCAATATAAACCATAAACATTTGGCTCGACAATGCTGTTAATATTTTCCAGCTTTTTCATGTTTCTGTGTGCTTTGCATCAATGTTTACAAGCCCATTTAAAACAGAATCATTTTTCTAGAACGCTTTCATAAATCTATAATATGATGGCATTCATCAGAATCATATCACAATTCGTCGCATATGCAGATGGGAGTATTATCTTTGGTATAGGAACTCTCATCAGAGCCTAGCTGAGCTGGCCATAATTTTGTGACCTGTCCATGTCATCATGTCAGTTCTAGCTACACTTTTAGCATTGAGAGCACAGCTAGTGGCATGGAAAATTTGATATATTGACAAGGCATTGAATTAGCTTCACGCCTCGCTTTGCTTTTGGGACCATATTTGCGCAACGCTTCACTTAATGCGCATACGCCTAGTGGTTCATGACACGTGTGTGTGTGCATGTGTGTGTGTGTGTGTGTGCCATATTAAATGTAAATTTGTGCGAGCTTCGCAAAACACATTTGTCGTCGTTGAAAAGCACAAAGAAGAACATTTTCGCGACTTATTGACTTTGCAAAGGAGTGCAGCTGTTGCG